TATTTATATTTATATTTATATTTCATTATTATAAGCAACCGAGACGGCGGTAGTAGTGGCGTGTCAGTGCAATACAGTGTTACAAAGAAATGGTACGACATACGAATGTCTGTCGTTATCAAATATGGCTTTCTCATAAAACTTATCTGCTGCATTTTTTTTTCATTAAAAATTGAAATCTTCCTTAACCGCGATGGTGAAAGGAGTGCAGAAATCAAATTTGTTTAGTACACTTAGGTAGTCGATAAAATTAAATAATAATAAAAATTATTTGGAAAAAGACGGAAGAGTTGAAAAAAAAGTAACAAGACAGAGTACCCGTAATTTTTTCCGGTTTATTCCACTTCTGTTTTTCTACCGCCTTTTCCCAGCTAGCAGTATCTTCCCCAATATTTACGTGACATTCTATAAATCTTCTTTTTTCTCCGCAAATTTGAATTTCTTTACTTCTCTCTCCAATCCTTTCGCTTTACTTCCCTCCCTCTCGACAAGAAGAAGGAAAAAAAGACTTGTAAATCTTATATTCACAAAAAATAAAATTATTTGAACCAGATAAACGCTTTACAAAAAGAAATCTGTATTTTAAGTCGGCAGATTCAATTAACTATTGAACAGTCAATAGCAGTCATTAAAAGTTGTACAGATCATGCGTGCAAAACAGAATAGCACCACCAACAACAGATCAATATATTTCTAGAACAGAAAGTGTTCACTGTCAGCTGCAAAACTGCCTAGTGTTTTCAAAATTCGAATAAACCTCCCAAAAAAAAAGCAGAGAAGAAGAAGGGAAAAGGTAAAATAAAAGAAAAAAAAGTAAATAAATAACAAATAATGCATATTAGACACATTTCAAACAGTCTGTTTCATTTGTGTGTTCTCGAAAACAATTTTTCATTTTTTTTCCTTCCTAGCCTTTCAATCTTGACACAGCTACTAGACAGTTTTTTTGCTCGACTGTCAAAAAAAGCAACCTGCTGAGTGCCACTTTAGAATTAGATAAAAAATAAATTTGAACGCCTAGTTTGAAAAAGAAACCAAAAGAAACCTTACAGTAAGAGTTGAACTCGTTTTCAGCATTGGTCAAAGACATCGAACCGACAGTAGACGATCTGCTGGTCACCACACTTGATGAACGACGTTTCTACAAAGTAAATTTATTTTCGTGTATACTGCAGAGAACAAGTTTAAAAACCTACATTTCTTTCATTTTCTTTTATATGATACTCTAAATTTGAAACTTCTTTTGCTGTTTTCAATTTTTTACTTTTCAAAAAGCCAATATTTGTTTAACTACAGCAAACAGAATCGTTAGGACTACAGTTGTTATATTGTCTGCGGTGTTCGAAGAGATAAAAAAAATGGTTGCTGCAATTTGCAGTAGTAAAATCAAATTAAGCAATTTTTCATCCACCACACTGATATTTAGCAAAATAATTATTTTCTTAGGAAAAAAAACTATTTTGGGCTTTTTTCTTTTCATTTTCTTCTAAAACTCAATTTGTGATATTGGAAAAGACTTTTTTGTAAATTCTGACCATTCTACCGTGAAAAGCAATTTAGTAATAGAAACAAATTCCTGTAATTGTAAATCTTGCGTTAACATTCGTCCTGCAGACGAAACTCGGAACATACAACGAAATAAAGTTTATAGGATTGAATTTCTGAAAATTTTTTAAACAACCTTCTCAATGTTGTGCCGTTTGCTCGCGTATCTAAGTGTTGGTGGCAGCACAGATTTCTGGCCAGTTGTTGAAGAATGCGGTGATGATGAGTTACTGCTAGTGGACGGTGCTGTATCGTGCAGCTCCATATTGCTTTTCGGTCTCCTATTCTGGTCAATAATTCTCTCGCTAATCAGTGAATTCGTCCCCGATGCTGTGTTTGAAATTGAAGACTTGCTTGACTGTAAGCGTCAACTTTTACTGAGCGTACTTCGGTTTTCTTTTTAATTACTGCCACTTAATATCTGCATATGTGATGCACAAAAATCCAAAATGCATTTCACAACTTATATTTCTCACAAAGCATTCTTTTGAATATAGTTTGCGTAAAAAATCAGGACCCTTTACCTTAACACACTCCTGCTCCAAATTTAGTTGATACAGATGAACTTTTTCGGTACAGTTACTACGCCCACACTCTCCGTGCAAATAAGCCAACGGTTTGCCGATAGCTTGCTGTAAGCACACACGACAAGTTGGTGAATGATAACTAAGCAACAGCTGCAGTTTGTACCAGTTCATTGAACTGAAAAACTTAACTCTCCTAAAACATTTTAAAAAGTTTTTCTATTAATAATGAGCTTCCACTTAATACGAATTTTCACGTGTAGTTTTAAAAAAATTGAAAATATCAAATCCATTTAATAACAAAAGCCAGTTAACCAAATTCTTTTTACCACACACTACAAAAACTTCCCTAACAAGACTTTAAATACTATTTCACAGATGCACGACAAACGCTTTAGTAAACAACGATCAGTCTACAAAATTTTTAGCACAAATTACCCCAATTCCAGTTTCCATAATTGCGGTTCAGCATCAACTTTATCAAGCCGTTGATAAAAATAGACAAGTAACACGTCACCAAAAACGATGTGACATTTATTGGCATATTTGCTATTCGGCCGCTGGTGTTTCGGATCCCCATATGTATTTAAAATTCGAATATCACCTTTCGTTTTGCCAACAATTGAGATGCAAATTAGTGTACTTTCGAAGTAGTTAAACAGATATAGGCAATTACGATAAATAAATGGGTCACACAGCAGAGCTAAATAAATCACGTCGCCAAGCTTTCAAGTTGTTTCTTACTGAATTATTACTGACTTATGCAGCTCCAAAAATTCTCAGTCATTAACTTTAGAGATGTATATAAGAAAAGAGCTTTTAAAAAATCACTTTTGAGTGGCACTTTAACCAAATAAGTCTTTATTCACCTCGATGATCCTTAAATGATGAATAAACTTTTAGTGGTTTTACGCCTCGTTTTTCATAGAAAGCTCTCAGGTGTAGCAGTTCAATCGCACTGTCTTCAGCTTTCCAGTCTGTTTCTTTAGAACATGATACTGGGTACATTATCAGTACAGGGCCACTCTCATCGTAAGTTACGCAAGTTTTATAATGCTTCCTTCAAAATAGAAGAAGAATTTTGTAAAGTTATTACGTAAATTCTTTAAAAGCTCATAATTATATACAAAGTGTTTTGCTTTTTTTTTCTGCAGAGTTTATCTAAGCCTCGAACTTTTCTTTCTTTCCAACATTTGGTGACTTTAAAAAATTCTGCAAAAAAATGTAGTTTTTAACAGCCGAGATAACCATAACGTTACTTCAGTCCCTGCATATGAGTTGCCGACACTGGTGTGTCAATTTGGAGCAGCTTAGCATTGAAATCAAGTATTCCTTTAACAACATAATATTCACCATCGTTAAAACCTTGAAGAACTAAAACTACCTCTTTCTCATCCAAGAAAGCGAGATCAAACACCTAAAAAGTGACAAATAAGAAACTCCAAAATAATCAGATGATGTGTAATCATATAAATTGAAGAAAGTTCGCATGCCAGTTTACAATTATAACGGTCAGTCAACACTTGGAAGAAAAACTCTCATTAGAGTACGCTTTTATGAAAAGTATTTTAATACCAGATAACAAATAAAAACTATCTAATACGCAAAATTAAACCTCACTTTATAAACGTCAGAATGCGAAACAAATCAGACTTAAACTTTTTCAATTTAACACAGTAAAGAAGTAAATAAAAACTGATCAAAACCCAATAAATAACAGTAGGCAACAGCAAATTTTACAGAACTAAATTTTAAAAAAAAATTTTGTAGAAAAACCCACTAATTCCTAGCATCTTCTCAAGTTTCCAAACGTTGTCCCATTTGACTCCTGTAAGAATCAAGCAAGAAAGAAAGTTGTAGATACTGTGAAAATATGCGAAAGTATTACTTAAAATGGCGAAAAATAAAATTCTAAAAAAACCTAAAGTCTAAAAAAATATTACTCTTTTATTAACTTTCAAACTTATTTTTAATTTTTAAAAATAGTCGAAATTAAGCTTTTTATTGCTTTCTTAATTAATTATCAAGGCTAGTGTAACTTTTTAATTGTATTTTTTTAATTTCTATAACAGTTGGTACCTTCCACTCGCTGAATGCGAAAACTACCTGCAGTACAGACTCTAATATGATGTTGCGCTTGTTGCTAAATTCCATCTATGACCGACAAATATGTATAAAATTTTTTTTCCCTTTTATTTCTTAAAGGTTTTAAAAAAAAATACAAGAAAAAGTAAATACACAGTGATTTCTTTACATATGAACAAAAACGCATTAAAAAAAAGAATTTAACAAATAATATAGAAGATATTTTAGATCTCATATTAACATAACTGTTCTAAAGAAAAGAGTAATTAAAAATGAAAAAAAAACATAAAATTAATTGATCAAACTTCAGTCCCTTAA